AAAGTAATACCAATAGCTGGCGGCTAACGCCTTAGCTAAAAAATCCACACATTTTCCGCATTTTTTTCAACACTCGCGGAACAACTGCGTAATTTGTAGGTAAGGGTAGGATTAAGGTCGCCTTCTAGCTTTGAGCTAGAGCGAATTTTCCTTTAGCTCAGTGGTAGAGCGTCCGACTAGGAACCTGGAGATCGAGGGTTCGATCCCCGGTGGAAGCACACTATTCTCTTTCTTGTTACAAATGGTGTCTGTGGCCCTTCCTGTAGTGACAGGGAGTTAGAACATGGGTTGTGGTGTCCGAGGGCGAACACATTTTAAAAGGTTGGAGTAGTGTGGCAGGGTTCAATTGTACATTAGGATTAAGGTCGCCTCCTAGCTTAGAGCTATAGGGAATTTCCCTTCAGCTCAGTGGTAGAGCGTCCAACTAGGAACCTGGAGATCAAGGGTTCGATCCCCGGTGGAAGCACACTATTCTCTTTCCTGTTACATTTATATTTAAAATAAAAGAAAGGTACTGAAGTGTTTAATGAAAGGTCAGCTTAAGCATCCTCATCATGCATGTATGCATTCAGTAGAGCAACCCTACCTGCATCATTAATTTAAGTATTAACCATATAATAGTTTTTGTTACTGAGATATGGACTTACACAACTTTTCTTAATGTGCACTGATGTACAATGTAGAAGGAAGTCACTGGAGTCTAAAATGTAAGTCAAATTCAGCATCTACACACATTAATCAGTGTCCCTATAGCTGTGTCATTGATGCCATCATTATGCATGTATTACCTAGATGTACCCAGAAATGGACCCAACACTTTTTCTTAATGGGAATGGAGGGCGAGAACGAATCCATTTATTCATCCTCTGCAAACTTCGTTGAGTAGGGGCTGGGAATAAAAAATGTAACTTGTGAGCAGAGACGTATACGTTTCTGTTGTGAGGCAAACATACAAAGATGAAGATAAATAACAACATACATATTTACATCAGTCAATGATTTAATTTCATAAAAAAATATCAATATGCATAAAAGTTAACAAAACAATCACTACAACAAAGTTATCAACAAGTATGCTGTCATTACATATATCTACATACATGTACATATATTTGATGGAACAATTTAAAACATTTTTTTTTAAAACAAAGCAATGCAAAGGAATACTGAATAAAATATAATCATCATGAAATATCATGACTCAAGACCAGTTTTTAAGAAACTGGTGCCTGTTTTGACACCTGTGACCTTGAAAGAAGGTCAAGGTAATTTACATGATGAAACTTTAAAGTATTTATCCCAGACAGACTTATGACAGACACTTCACTATACCATAAGATTATGACAGTTTGTACCAGAGGAGCTTAAAAGTGTATCTGAAGTTCATGAACCATGATATTTGTCTTTCCTTCATTCTGACTGTATGACCAAATCAGAAAAATCACAACAATTATCAATCACTAGCCACGGTATACATGTCATTGGTCAATGCCCTTTTTAATTAATGTCCAACAATATGGTATTTTCATTGTCACATATACAGCAATGTCTTGTTTTCTCCATTCAAAGGATTAGGAATCCCAGAAGGACAAAGCTCTTGCAGTGTCTTACAGAACACTGCATCCTGATGGTAGGTCTGGAATTTGCCAAGAAAAGTTGGACATTCTGGAGAAAAAAATAAAAATGAAAATTGTCATGAATCAGACATAGACACTGTAGACATGATAGTACTAAAGTACTAAAATTCTGGGCACATTTATATTGTGTATAGTGACGTAATACAGGTAACGTCAGGTAATTTGTTCGTTACCTGTATTACGTCACTATACACAATATAAATGTGCCCAGAATTTTAGTACTTCATGGGACATATTTTGTTATTAAATCGTCCTGAAGAAGCCCACTGTTCGGGCGAAACCGGTAGACATACCCAATAAATAAGATTCAACTTATCCTGAGCTTGTTGCGATTGACTCCTACGCTTATTTTAAGTATATATACAGACCCAACTATGGAACTTAGAAACTGTGTTTATGATAATAGGACTAAATTATTATAATAACACCACATTTTGAATATACTTAAGCTAACCACCTGTTTCAGGACTGCCAGTCACTGGTAGTGAATTACAAAGCAAGTTTCCATCTCATGGTTTGCATGTCTTTAGAAAGCTTCTGTTGTTGTGTCTCGAGGATGTCGCTGAATAAAGAGGACAATTCAAATAACAAGTTAAAACTATGACGGGTTATCCATATAAATCTTGACATTCCATTTAGGTA